ATTTTCTTTATTCTCATCACGTGGCTGCTTCTTATTGTTCTGATATCATGAGGAGAAATTTTATCTGGTCATTAAAGGCTGACAATGTACAAATGATGTTTGGGGGACACAAAAGTGGAAGGGAAGGCCATTGCTTAGATTTTGACTGCATTTTGTGAACTTTTGTTATCTCTAATTTAAAAAAATAAAAAACAGCAAACCTGTTTGGGTTAAACAATGAAGTGAAGAATAAAATAAGTGAAACTGTGAAAGTTGCTATAAAGATTCTTTAGCTTAAGATATTTTTTACCTTATCTTCTTATCTTTTGAAAGCACACAGCTCTTAGTACTGCATATACAATTCTGATGACTATTTTATTTCTTGGAAGCTTATCACTGTAAGTGTGTGGATCCCTGGCTCACAGAAGGGAAGCGAACTTGTCCTGTCTGCAAAAGACCAGTAGCAAATGACACGGGGTTAACAAGAAGCAGATCAGGGAGAAATGACATGGAATCAATGGGGGAGACATCTTATGAGGCTGAGCCTGAGGCTGAGGCTAATGAAAGAACTCCACTTATCTCAACAACATCTCAATCCAGAGCGTCTATTACAATGACAGTCTAGTCACAAATAGTTTATAGAGGTAGAAACCCTAACATCAGAATGCATATTCTCCACACTTTACTCTATACATTTTCTAAGGTGCTGACAAGGAGAATTTGTTTAACAATCAAGGCTTGTTTAGTTGGTGATCATTTCCTTTGTTCTCATGACCATAAAGTGTGATTCAGGGGTGGCACTGTAGGGAGAAATTGGATGCTAATCACTCTTAAGAGTTAAAGGGTTCATTTCTTACTCTTTTGTGAGTAACCATGGAGATATCAACATACCAGGTCTTCACTTGTAAGATCCTTCTTGTTAGGTGCTTGTGATTTAGGAGTTTCAAGCAAGAAAACTGCATGGCAGGGCTAATCAATGTAATTTTACTTTTCTTCTCTAAGCAATTGTAGTTGGTAGGTACATGTAATTGCGTGTAGTTGTTAGATTCAGAAGTCTACCCATGAGCATACAATGTAATATAAATTTTTATTATTAATTTTTAAGTTAGGACTTGCTCTCAGTATGTCTGTATGTAAATAAGACCTTGGAAGGTAATTTTTAATTTCCAAACAACTGAAACTAGTTTACTCTTTGAGAGCTGTAGCCTTATGTTATTGTTTGTTGTTGTTAATGTAACTAAGGTGTTGAAAAGAAAAAGGGAGATTGTCGGTACTGTATTGCTGTACAGTACACCTGTTTAAGTGTAATCCTAGATGCAAAAGTGCTTCAGTTGATAGTTTTGTTTCACTACCCTCTAAAAGATTGGAATAACTGCATGGGAAGGGGAAACCATAAATGAATCAGTAGCAGCCTGTAAAAGTAACTGAGTTGTGAAGAGCTGCACTGATGCCAGGAATGAAATAAGTTATAACTGGCTTTGGTATGCTTTTCTCCTGTTAGAGAATGACTGAGAAATCAAACATTTTCAATATGCAATTACATTTTATTCTATGCAGAAAAAGAGGATAAAGCAAGCTCAGTTAAATAAAANATTAAAATTAATTTACTATTCATCAATCTTAGGTTGTCGTGACTTTATCCAGGCTGACATAAACATGTCTCTTGGGTGTGGTCAAAGGCCCCTCAGATTTTGACATTTGAAGGAGTTTTCCTGTAGAATTGTCATATTTAGTGAACATATTGAGAAAGCCTTGTGACTAAGGGTTTCTGTCCTCAGGCTCACTACATTGTGAGGTCACTCAGGTGTGGCAAACACAGCAACCCTCAATGTTTATGAGAAGAGGAAGGTGGGAACACTGGTGATTTGATGTGGATGCCTTTGCAAAATCTCTACTATTTCAAGACCATGAATTCCAATACTTTCTTGAATGATGAGAAATCCATTAAAATGAAAGTTGTAATGAATTTAAGGCATTTTTTTTCTCATATGTTCTTAAAAAGTGTATCTCCCATTTATTTTCTCAGACTTCTTGTAACTCGTATCCAAATTTCAAGACTTTCCCGCCTAAATTAATATATTAAAGAATTCCATAAATTGAAAGGGGTTCCCACAATCTGTGTGAATCCTTACCTATGAAGAAAATTATTGCTCTTAGCAATCGCACTACTCAAGTTTGAACCCTTTCTGGGAATAATTAGATCGAAGAAAGGCGAATCGTTATAACAATTCAATTGAAATTGAAGGAAATTTAAAAATTCGTAAGCAAACTAGGTTACCCAGTAATATTACCCTGAAAACAAAACAAAATTGTGACTCAAAATCATATGGATCAATCGTTTACTTCTTTCAAAGCTTCAGCCAACAGTTGGCACAATCAATCGGATAAACTAATGAAAGCGTCTTAAACGGAACGTGAAAACTTACAGTGCTTCTAGAGAAAAGTGTTCTGAACATCTGCTTAAACTAATGTGTAAATCCCACGACCAAGGGCATTGGAATACACAAACTATCGCCAAATAATACTATCAGTGTTCTTTGCCTTAGATTCTGTTTTTAAGGTTCCAATCAAACATTAAAATCCTGAAGCAATGAGATGTTCTGCTACGGTTTCCACACATTGGTTGCAATTTCCAGCACCTCCAGCACTCTCATTGTAGCCACCAAGAATGAGAGCCTTGTTGGTCAAACACGCGCAAAAGCCTCCTTTTTCTTTCATTTTCAAGTAGGCCGCTTTCTTGTCCTTGTCGTTCCGCAGCATCATGTATTTCGTTCCAGCTATGTTCTTGCCCGAAACACTTCCATCCTTCAAGCTCTTTATTATCTCTTGCGCTTCTTGCTGAGATACCTACGAAGTATATTTTCACATTTGTAAGAGATCTAGTGAGCAATCAATTGAGCTCGAGGTTTTAAATCTATGGCTATTTTTAGGGCTTTTCTACGGCTTTTCCCCCCCCCCCATCCGATATCTTACCGAGAATCCAGGACTGGTAGCCCATTGCGAACCGTCTAAGCCAAATATGGCTGCCTTCTGAACTTTTCCTGAACCCACGAGGCTGCTATCCACGTAACTTTGCCAAGACATGTCTCATGTAATGAACCAGGAAATGTGGGAGTGTGACTTTATGAATTAGCCTTCGCTGAAATGCTCTCTAAAATAAAATGGCGACTTCAAATTTGCAATGGGCTGACGATCACGTGGCTGATGACGTAAGAACCTCGCATTCATGTGGTGGAACAGGATTTAGTTCTTTAATTTGGCGAAATCCATTCAACCAAAATTTCCGGAAATTTCGGTCTAAAACTGAATGGATTGGTTCGGTTCAACTGGAAAAGTTTCGAAAAAACTGGCCGACCTTTCGAGGTGGACCACTTTTCTCGGTTGGACCAGTCCTCTTAGCCCGGAAATTGTGGTTGAATGGATTGCGCCCTTAACCGAGCGGGAGTTCTTGACCGAGGTCGCCAGTACAGACCGAACACTGTGAGGACTGTACCAGCAACCGAGGTCAAGATTCTCCCATACAGACCGACCTAGCTCGGTTAATAAGATGTTTGTTAGATACAATGTATATNAACTGCGGCTTTTCAAGAACCCAAGCAATTTTCTTTTTACGAAGTTTCCTCCGTATCTGAAAGTAGCACGCCTCTGTTCTTTTCTTGCTGCTCCTGATTGTAAGCAATCACAGCCTTTGTTGAAATCGGCTCCTTCGTCGGATGACAACCAACCGTATAAACACAGTAATGAAAAGAAGGACGTACATGCGACCATCTTCTCCGTCTCCCGCCATATTGTTATTCGCGCGCGTGCTCTCAAGTACCAAAGTGAAATATAATCTTCCTAGTGAAAACACCTATCATTTTTTGGAAAATATGAAATGCCAGAATTCGGAACCTGAACCGGAATACCCGGAATTTGCCTTCACCCATTTACACACCTATAGGATGTCTAGCCAGGGCGCCATGACCATTAGGCCTGCACGATTTTCCAGCCGGAACCATTGCAGAAAATTAAACAAATGCAATATTTCCAATTAGTTAAAAAATCTCCGAACAATTACAAATTAATACTCTACCTTAAATAATTATTAACCACACATTGGGAGCTGTTAAAGCAGCTACCATTAAGACCAGCCGTCTACAGTTAAAATTGAGAGATCGTTAGTTACTCGACACCTTTCTTCGCGTCTAGGTATTTATAGATTATGCTTGTAAAAGTGGCATATTATGCTAGTAGCATTGCTTTTTTTTTTGGCCAAATTATGCTAACATCATGCTCTTTTTTCCAAATTATGCTACCGTTTTTTTAAATTATGCTCTTTGAAAAAATGCAAATAAGTCCAAAATATATATTTTTTAACTAGAAGCCGTTCGTCTACATGATCAGGCATGGCCGACGCCATATTGTAGCCTTACCTAATGAGAGGTACTGGGATCGACATGGCTAAACTGCGACTTCCGTTTTCGGTGCACCTCAGACCCGGGCTCAGTGCTTCACAGTGAACTACAAATGCTACTAGTTTAACTAAAAATTTAAATATCGATTAAGGTCACCAAGTGCTTGAGACTAGAGACAAAAAATTATCAAATAATGGCATCAAAAATGATCTGACAATTATCAAAATGCGCAAATTATGCTAGCATTGCTACTTGGCAAAAACTATGCCAGTTTGCTCAAATTATGCCAGCAATTATGCTAGCACAATCTATAAATGCCTATTCGCGTCTATTATAAATAACTTGAATATGTACCTTTAAATATATATCTTGTACTGATGGATTCTTCTAAACAAGGTTTATATTCAAAGGTATATATTCAAGGTATTTATAATAGACGCGAAAAGGTGTCGAGTAACTGACGATCTCTCAATTTTAACTGTAGACGGCCGGTCCTAATGGTAGCTGCTTTGATAGCTCCCAAAGTGTGGTTAATAATTATTTAAGTTAGAGTATTAATTTGTAATAGTTCGGAGCTTTTTCATCCTCGGAGACCCAGGGGCTGTGGGTCGATTTTAAGTTACGGCATGAAGAGCCCCTGGGGACATTGTCTTACAAGACTAGTTCCAAACGGTCGCAGTCGTTCAGCCATCTGATTGGTGCCAGAAAATCTTTGTGTTTTTCTGCCCAATCAGAGTGAATTGTGCTTTGTCCTTTCGTGTGTTGTAACACGGACAAATACTAAAAGCTCACTTGCTCGCTATGTTTGTTTGGGCCGTGCGACGGAGATTTGCTTGAGGTAAAAATTTTCAGTCTCAGCACACAATGTAAGAGAAATCGATCAGATTGTACGCAAAAATCTTACCGGAAATTATACTGAATACTTTCGCAGGTATCACTAGAGAACGTGTTTTAAAGTTTGCGAGGTTTGTATACAACACGAAGGTTGCAGTCATTGATATGTCGCTTTAAACGTTAAACGAGATTTAAGCTTAAATCTTTTCTAGATTTTTGCATAATTTGCTGTGACTGAAACTTTGCCAATCCCGTGAAGTTATTTCGTCGCACGGGCCACGCAGGTATGTCGAGCAACTGGTACTT